TACCTAGAGAATACATGTAACAATTTCAAATGCCCCCAGGAAACTCCATAATTCTCTAAAATGCATTTTACCTTTTTTGGGGGCAAATTTACCTACAAACGACAACTCAATACAATATTAGACTCTTTAAGCTAGAAAGAAATTGGATTTGGATTCTTTAATCTTGAAAGAAATAATCTGGAGTATTTCACCTTTTACAAGGTAGTTCCTATTACGTGAAAGTTCCCATAAATCTGTGAATAGAGTTCTCTGGTCTTACATTCTAGACAACAGCATTATAGTTATAACCCATATGTATATTTTGTATTTGTATTTATAATTAATTAAGACTATCCCGTTTGGACACTGATTCCAAAATATGTGCATGGTTTTTACTTCATTGGTATCAACGTAGGAATGTCACTTCTAATAGCCAAAATAATTAAAGTTTAATAAAATTAGGTAAATCATTTAAAATTACATGTGATTTTATTTTCCAATGCCACATGTATCCACAATGATATGACAATAGAAGATCCCAGATACATTATGGTCATTCCATGGTTCTGGGAGACAGAGAAGGTGATTTCACCTGGACAGAAGTTGCATTCTACTTCCAGGTGTGATATGGTTTTTACTTAATGGAACAACAAAAACAGTGACATGTTAAATGTAGAACGAAGTTGTAATTGTATAACTCCCTAGGTTCATTTGGAATGACAGTAAAAGCCTCAGAAGAGAGGTATGAATGATTAACATAGGGATGATGTGCTAGATGTATAATATTTTATTTCAAATAATCCATCGTGAAATCACTTGGTATGATTCACCTTTGGAAGTCGATTTCATTCTACTACTCTCACTTATAAGGTATAACCAGTGTACTAACTGTTAAATGTACACAAATGGAGAAAGAAAAAGAATGCTGACGGTCATACACATAGGTGGACATCACATAGGAGTGAAAGCGGGAGGGGACACTAACCATATTAGGCTTGGATGGGCAACAGCGCACAGGGAAGAAGCCCTCCCACAGCCACACTCGCAGCAACTGAAAGGCAAACAAGAGAGCCCAAGATAAGGAAGAGATCCCACTCCCTCGATCATAGCATAAAGATAGAATGAATTTCCTCAGATGTCTGCTTTCCTTTTCAAAACCAAAAAACCCTAAATGCATACAATTAAATATGTTCTGCAATGCCTTTCAAATTAAGAAGCACTTTATGGATTTAAGAAATACAGAGATGTATTAATTTGTTATTTTTATTTTGCTTAAAATGATTATTCGGTAGGAAACAAAATGAGCCAATCTATTTGAATTAATTGTATGCAATTAATATAGACATATAAATAAAGATGTAAGCCCATTTAAATACATCTTTCCTCAGAAATTCCCTCAAAATTTACATTTGGAAGACATTCTAAAGAGTCCTTTAAATACATGTTTTGCAAATAGCCTACAAAATTGGAGGGACATTAAGGTCTTGCTAGTTTGACCCACTGATTTCTTATGCCAGTGGTGTTACTTATCATGGCCTATTGGAAATTTTATGCTTATGTGACTTC